CAAATTTAAAAAAGAAAATCTAACAATATCAAATTGTGACAAGATTTAGAACAACAGAAATCTTCCTTCTTTGCTGATGGGCATGCAAAATGGTACAGGAGGTTGGGACAAGCGTAAGCTGGGACTGTCCTAGGCAAACTGGACATACGATCACCGTATTTATATACAATGATAAGAGTGTTAAGACGTGATTTTGAGAGCAATGCTTTCCATAATGCATATTTTAAAGGTCCTTACAGTCATTAAGTATAAAAACATTCTACGGTCAAATACATTCAGAAGATACTGGGTTAAAGAAAGTTATTGTTTTCTTTATTGAACCACTTCTCGAGACTTTAATTTACAAACGTGAATCTTCAAGAATGTATCATGCCATGGTTTTCCAGAACTTTGGCCTAAATGCCCTTCTCTGCTTCCTTCCTCCAACCTACACAAACCCCTACCTTGCTCAGCCCAAGCACATTAATTTCTAATTAGTACCTTTGGAGGCATGCTGCAGTCACGGGGGTTGCATGAAGCCTGGAGTGACGTTTTTAGATACGTGCTTCAAATACTTAGCGGTGGCTCTGAGGATAATGAAGTTGAATAGAACTGGAGATAGAGATGCCCATCAAGAGGATGTTGCAGTGGACTAGGATGTAGACAGTGAGGAACAGAGAGAAGAAGGCACATAACAATATTTAGGATGTAAAATGAGAAGCAAGTATGCCAATCATCACGCTATAATTGTCCATGTCAGATTTCTATGGGACGTCTATCTCTTACTCCTATGTTTAGGAATCAGAGCAACATCTGGCCTGGGCTTGGCATATTACTAGGTACTTGTGTGCTTGTGGAAAAAAAAAAAAGCGGACTGCAGAGGGAGCTGGGAGGTTCTTAAAAATAGGTACAACAGAGCAAACTCTTGTTTATTAGATATTAATTTAAGCTGCCTTTTAATCTAGCACATATTTCTTAAAACAGCTGTGCTTTTATATTATAAATCAAAAACAAAGTTTCACAAGTCAACCTGCACTTCTCACTTATCAATAAACTCCTTGTCTTGCTATATTTTCTTTCTTGCATCTTTTATGTCTTTGGCTATCACATTAGATCGCATGGTAGTCATAAAAAATATTTTTATTTTAGGGACTATTAAACAATGATCTCCTTTCATTCTCTAGAGTGGCTACTATGTAAACACTGGAGACACAGCAGTGGAGAGCAATCTTACACGGCAGAGGTTATTTCAGTGGTATTTATTTTAATAAGGACATAATTCATTCTCACTCTAGGACTTACTGCTCATTGACCTTCAAAATCTTTCCAAGAACACCAAAATCCCCAAAATGACTAGCTCTGAAAAATCCAAATTACAAGCCTTCAGACATAGATATCTCCCTCAAATGTACAGAACTGGGGAGCAGTGGTAGGGAGACAAGAAATGACCATCTGTTAAATCAGCAGAATTTTTGCAATAAGAATCTCCCCAATAACAGAGATATTGAAGAACTGCACTAAAGCAAATGCATTGGAGAAGAAGAGGTGAGAACTGCTTTGAGAAGTATTTAAGATTTGGAAATCAATGAGATATGGAGATTACTCCTACTCTTAGGACATGCAAAATTGGGCTGAACACAATGTAGCTGAGGCCTAAGATTGATCTAAGATTGAATTCCATCTCACATTTTCAAGTACCTGTAGCATACCGAATATCTCAAACTGGATATCACTTCCCCAGAATATTGAAATACAACATGTTCAATGCTAAATTCATTGTCACTTTGTTCTCTTACAGTCTCTCTTCCTTTCTCTCTCCCCACCCCCCACCCTCCAGTCTCAAAGTTATTTCCCTTTAATTTCCTCCACTTCTCCAGAGTTTCTTCATTGCCCAGGTTAAGGGCACCTGGATGAATTTCACTAAGGAGTAGGCAGATGCTCAGATGGGATTCGATAAATGTCAGGAACTCATTTATCCTCTGTGCCTCTAAGTTTTGCAGGCTTGCGTAAACCATATATACTTTTTTTTTTCCCATTTGAATACAAAGGAGTGAAATCTTACCCTTAGTTTTCAAAAGACCTAGAATGAATCCTCTCATAACATATTGTGAAACATGAGAAATAGGGAGGATTCCAAGAGGAAGATTCAGAGAGCTGTGCTTTGGTTCCAACTTTGTCAGTAAGTAGCAGGATAACCCAAAGAAGCTGTGTAGCCTCAGGTTCATCGCGCTTCTCCCTGCTACAGTTCAGGTAACATGAAGGGATGTTTGGAAAATGCACCAGACCTTATAGAGCTGTAAATTCTTTGCATGATATTTCTTTGAATGACTGAACCACTTCTTCCTAAATTCACCAACCACTTCTTAATTCTCAAGTCCAATGCACAAGTTTCAGTTCTTAATTTACTTGAACATCCTGTGACATGTAATATCATAGAGTATTACCTTTTTTTGAAATGTTTTCCTTCATTCTCTAGCTTACCTTTTCCTAGTTTGCTCCATATTTCTCTGATTACTTCTTTTCAGGGCTTTTCTTTCTCTGCCCTCCTTAAACATAGAAAGTTCATAACATTCCATCCTTAAGAGTTAGTGAGCTTATCTCTTTCCACAGATCCAACCACAGCTCTATCCTGAACACCTCGCACTTGCAAGTACCTGTAGGACATTGAACATCTCAAACTGGATATCACTTCCCCAGAATATTGAAATACAACATGTTCAACACTTAACTTACTGTCACTTTGTTCCCTTATTTTACCACTTTCATCCTCAAACTGCAATTACTTTTATTAACAAACTTAGGTCTCAGTGACATAATGTTCAGCCCAATTTTGCATGTCCTAAGAGTAGGAGTAATCTCCATATCTAAGTGATTTCCAAGTCTTCCTACATATCTCTCAAAGCAGTCCTCACCTCTTCTACTCCCATGCCTGAGTGTAGTCATTCAATATCTATGATATTGGGGAGTTTTTTAAATTGCAACAGCCTCCTAAATGGTCATAATCTCAATCCCTCTCTCCCTCTGCCTCTGCCTCTGCCTCTGCCTCTTTCCCTCTTTCACCCTCAGCCTCAATGTTATTTCCCTTGAATTTCCCCCACTTCTCCAGAGTTTTCTTCATTACATGGAATTATGAGCCTGGGATCTTTTAATAGTTTAAGTCCTATTTGATACTCAATATGATGATGGTGTGGAGGCTTTCCATTATATAAACTGTACTTGCTTTTCCAGTCTCATGGCCCTCTAACCCACCCACTATGCTTTGTTTACATAAAATTATATAATGATCCCCAAGAGTTTGCACTCGCCTGTGGTTTTATAAATTTTTATGTGCTCTTCCTCCTGCTTTTCTCATTTTGTCTTCCTGGTGAACTCTTACACACCTCTCAAGATTCTGTTAATACTTCCCTTTTGAAATGATTCCTGACTCCACAGCAAGGCAGCCGTATCTCTGGGATCCCACGGTGCTGTGTACAAGTCTTTACCATAGCACTTCTTACAGGGTCCTACGAAGGATCTCACTCCTTGAGCTCCTTGAGGGAAAACACCATACTCTAGTCATCTTAATTACCTGCCATGTCCAGTACAGCACCTGACATAAGACAGGTTTTCAATGAATACTTGCTAAATGAATGATATGATAGAAAGAACTCAAGATTTTAAATTAGGTCATCTGAACTTGTGCTGCTCATAATCATTTGGGTGATTTTGATGAAATTTCTTTGGGTTTCAGTTTCTTTAATCTGTGAAATGAGGAAGTAGAGCCTGGTGTTCTGTAAGGGCCTCTCTAGTTTTAATGCTCTATGGTTGATACTACTATCTATTACAGAGGTTGAAACGCATTTTATCTAATCACAGAAAGTTTAATAAAAATTTAAGAATATTGACCAAAAGAAGAAACTTTACATAAAAATATGATTTTCCATTACATCTTGACAAAGCAGGTAATTTGCCTATATTGGGCCAAAATCCCAAAAAGCAAGCAATTGGCTCAGCTGAATCATGCTGTACCTTTAGATGGGATTTGTGTTTCTGCTTTGCCAGCATGCTCTGCTCTTTATTCCTCCCTCTTTACAGGGACAGAGTAGAAATGCTGCCTATTATCACACCTGCACTGCAGTTTTCTTCAATAAAGATGAAAAATACAAGGTATTTCTTGCTCCCATTTCTTTGTTAAAAGTAGAAAATGAAAGATAAACAAGGAGATCCTCATGTTTCTTACCCCTGGCTGATCTTATTTAAGTACTTAAATATACGTATGTATAGTACCAAACGCCCTAGAATTTGCTTAGGTGGTACCTGTTCAAAATATTCAGGTCCCCCCCCCCTCCCCCCGCCTCCACCTAATTGCATCTGGTCTTTTGATGTCCTGAGGATCCTTTCAGAAAATAGCGTTGCCTTTATATAAGCAAAGGCCAAGCCAATTTATCTTCTAATTAATTTGGTAAGTGGTTTCTTTCACTTGAAGAAAGTGATGCTTTTTTTTATCTAATAATTACATTATGTTTGTTTGAATATTTATCATTTGAAGAGTCTCTGCTTTTTTCCAACCCTGTGCAAAATATGCGCTGCTCTTCAAGAATGCTTAGAATGACTTGTCCCTTATGAAGTCTTGTCTACTAAATGAGCACGCGGAGGTGACTCTACTTATTCCTTAATTGTTCCTGCTAGGATTGTTGATTTGCCTTCTCATTTTTTATTGGAACAGTGAAACTGGTCTACTGCAGAGTGAAGTGTTAGGAAACGACAGGTATGAGCTGACGAGACGGGCTGAAGACCTGAATCTAGGCGGCATCACCAAATAAAGAAGACAGCTGCCCTCCATTTTCTTCTCTCCCCCTGCAATCTAAGGCGTTCACCATCTGTTTGCCAGGCCTCCAAGAATACGTTCCTTGCAATTTTGCTGATACCCCCACATTCCTTAGCTTGGAAACAGAGGAGGCGGGGGACGACCGCTGTCACTCAGGCCCGCGGTCCAATGGGAGGGAAGCAATCCCCGCCTCCTTCCTGGGCTGTAATGCGGGCATGCGCGATGCGCAGCCCATCGCCAACACCCATCAGCTGATTATTGTAGGGGGCTTCGGAGCCTGTGAGAGCCTGCGGCCGGAGGAGGAGGAGAAAGCCGAGGAGGTTGGGGTAAGACGAGCGAGGGGCGGAGGGCCCAGAGCCGGGTCCCGGAGGCGCGATGTCCCTGGGGCTTCCGCGCCTCTTGGTTTATATGCGTTGTCAAGCGGCCATCCTGCGCTTTGTCGCGAGCTTTTCCCAGCTCCGGGAGCGCTCGCCGCTCCCCACGGCCCCCGGCCCCAGGCCCCCGGGCCCGGCCCCCAGCCCCCCCCCCGACCCCTCGACCCCCGCCAGCCCCCTGCCCCTGGCCCCCAGCCCCCGGCCCGGCGCGGGTGATTGGCGTGGTCAGGAGGCCTGGCTAGTCGAACCTGTCCGGCGCCTGCAGCCTCGCCGCCTCCCGCGCCCGCCGGGGCCGCGCTCGCTCAGGCTCACCTGCGGGACCGGCCTCGGAGCCAGCGCGGGCCAGCTCGAGAATCCAGCTTCTGCCTGCTTTGGGCCACGAGTTGACCTCTTCCTCTTTTTAACCCACTGATTTGGAAAGCAGATGTTAAAGTTCTACCTCGGATATCGAAGAAATGAAAATATATGGCTATAGTAACGGAACTGTATACGTTTATTCAGAGGTTCATTGTGGTTGATTTTCTGTTTGGCTTGAATAAGGCTAACATTCCTTCATTTCAGTACGCGTCGTTAACTGGTTTATATAAAGACCTTTAAAAATGCATAAAATATTTCAAGATGCCACACCTCTCTTGTTTTCTAGGTTGTTATATTTTTCTCTCAAGTTTCTTGCATTTGCCTGGCTCTTGTAGACATAAATTAATTTTGTTTAATTCCCATCAAGATATTCTGACTTTAACTATATATAACTTGAGACTTGTACAGAATCTGGAAGAACAGGAAATGATTATGAAATGCTGTTCCGTTTAGTAATGTTGGAGGTGAAGGTTTTTTCGGGGGTGGCCTGGTCCTCAGTGGGGCACAAACTGATAACGGTATTAAACTGTCTTGTGTTGTTGGACAAGCCTCTGCTTTACAGGCTACTTTGAGAAGTTTGTCCAAACTGGTGACTAGTTAAGGGTTATGCTTTAGTTTTGAAGTTTCTGTAGAAGTTAATATGATACTATATTAACTGATTAAGATCTACATCATTTTTCTGTAGATGTTTTAGTTGTGCCTCTCCCAATAACAAAGTCAAACCAAAAGTTTTTGGTTAGGATACCAAACTTTAGCTAAGTGCTTGCTGGTGGTTGAAAAATATATAAAACATCTGCAGTAAATCTGAGTAAAGTTTGCCATGATCCCATTTCATTTGGAAGTTTAGTGTATGAAAGTGTGAAAAATAATCCTCGGTATTGTGAACTAAGACCGAATAGTAGTTTAACAGATGGAAGAGCTGAGCTAAAGAATGTGACTAATCTCTCATATTTATATTACAGAGGTAGGGATAGGTATTAAACAATATATTAACTAGATCGTTTTAAATGGTGATTAGCACAATGATGCAGTAAGTTAGATCAATGGATTGTGGCAGGGGTGGTAACTTCTCACTTCAGATCCAAGTGGTCTCTGTTTGAAGGCTTCTCTGTCATGTGATAAGACATTGCTGGGGGAAAAAGGGCCAGTCACATGGAGATCACGGGAGGAACAGTTCTAGAGACAGGACATGGCACCAACACAGGCCTCAAGGCAGCAGTAAGCCTGGGACATTCAGGATCTGACAGAGGTCACTGGAATTCAGTGTCTTAAAAATGGTGACATTTATCCTCAAACTGGTTGTGAGTTCTTAGGAAACAGGTACATTTATTCACTAATTCTATAAATATTTATTAAGCACTTACTGTATAGCCAGGTACTGAGAATAGAGCAGTCTACAAAAATAGACTACCTGCCCCTCATTAATTGGTTTATATAAAGACCTTTGAAAATATATAAAATATTTCAAGCTGCCTCCCCTTCTTGCTTTTTAGATTGTTACTTTAAAATCAGACATGAAGTGGAAAAAAATTTTCTTTTCTGTCAAATGTTCTATTTTGACAAATATTTTTTTACATTTTGGGATATGAGGTGGAGAGGAAACCAATGCTTTATGCTAGTGCTCACAATTAAGAAAGTGAAACTATTTCTATTGTTTTGTCCGTGCCCAAAAGGCTTACTGTCTTGGCCAAGGTAGAGATTTCTGGTGGTCAGTTCCACTGGTAGCTGAAAAGGAAATTGGCAAGTGCCTGTAACTTCAAAGGCATGTAGACACTAATTAGAGTTAAGAGTATGGCTGGGAGCCATCTATGTGAGCCTCACTTATATGTAGTAGATGTTTTTGTGTATATGGATGGAGGAGCTCCACCTAAGAGAGTAGAAGAGAGTACATAAATAAGAAAAAGGAACATTTCCTTATTCAATGTGTTTGTGCTGGCTGTCAGCCAGTTTTTCTAGAGTTCTAGTTGACAGAGGGAAAGGAAAAAAAAAAAAGTGTCATTGAGCCAGGAGAAAATTCTCTCTGTCCATGTAGTAGAATATTATTTGGCTATAAAAGGAATGAAGTATTGATTCATACATCAGTATGGATGGACCGTGAAAACATGCAGAGAGAAAGAAGTCAGCCATAGAAGAACACATGTTGTGTTACGATTGCAACCTGTGAAGACATAAAGTGGCCTAGTGGTTGCCTACATCTGGGGAGGCTGGAAGCGAGGGGGAGTCACTTTATGGATATGGGCTTTTTTTTTAGGGTAATGAAATGTTCTAAATGTGATGTGTTGATGGTTGCAGAACTTTGTGATTTTTTTTTATCGTTCAATTACAGTTGTCCCCATTTTCCGCTGTGGTCGTCCCCTGCCCTGCCCTGCCCATGCCCTCCCCCCACAGTGAATCCCCACCCCCACCTGTTGTCCCTGCCCGTGAGTACTCTATCCGTGTCCCTTGACTTGACCCTTCCCCTGCTTTCCCCTATTACCGTCCACCCCTGCCCCCAGTCATTGTCCGTTTGTTCATTATTTCCATGTCTCTGGTTCCATTTTGCTCACCTGTTTGTTTTGTAGATTAAGTTCCACTTTCAGGTGAGATCATGTGGTATTTGTCTTTCACCTCCTAGATTATTTCACTTAGCATAGTATTCTCCAGTTCCTTCCACGCTGTCACAAAGAGTAGGAGCTCCTTCTTTCTTTCTGTTGCATAGTATTCCATTGTGTAAATGTACCACAGTTTTTTGATCTACTCATTTACTGATTGGGCACATAAGCTGTTTCCAGCACTTCGCTAGTATCCTAGTGAATATTTTACAACACTATTGGATTGGACACTTTAAATGAATGAACAACATGATATGTGAATTATATCACAATAAAAGTTCATATTGAAAAAAAAAAAGTATATGCAGAATTTCAAGATCTAGTTGGTGGTTTGTAGGCTGCTTAGTCTCATTAAATCCCCAGATCTAGTCTTGTTCTGTCTGAGCCCCAGCATTTCAGGTCACTGCAGGCCACCTGGAAGGAAGTTTATGCCTGACACTCTGCTTCAGTGGTTCTGCTGTCTGAGTTGAGGTTTTAATTTACCCTTTCATGAAATTGGTTTTAGGTCTATCTCTAGGAGCTGGTGAGGTCCAGAGAGCCCAGAATAGATACATTGGACCTGTGGATTAATGGAAAGGAATGGAGAGCATCTAAAAGCTCCCAGAAATTCCAGGGTGGCCAGGCACACGCAAGGGTTTCAGGCATGAAACCAGTACTGTTCTACACACCTCAGCAGTTCAGCTGTTGTACTACTTGCCAATACTTACCTTTAAAACAAAGGGACACATTTGCTTGCGGCTTCCTCTCTACTACCAGAAGTCTCCAGTGGTTTGGTATCACAGCACATTCAAACTGAACCCAGTAGGGCCCTCCGTCTTCTGTGACATTTATTCTGTGTGGTATCAAGCACGGGTGGCTTTGGAACCAGACCCCTAGGATTGAAACCCACCTATAGCTGGTGGATAGGTCGGATTACCGTTCCAGCTACTTAATCTTTATAAGGCATACTTTGCTCATCGTTAAACAAAGTCTCTTTGCTACTACTTACTTTAAAGGGGAGCTTTTGAAAATTGAACTAGATAATCTGTGTGGAATGCTTTCCATTTCACAGATGTGCAGTGAATGCTAGGTCATCCCTCTCATTCTTCTGGCGTTGTCTCCCGCTTGTCCCAGCCACGAGTCATCTGACTTGGAGCTGATCAGGAACCTCTTCTTTCTTTGGTAATGACACAGTGTATTTGCCTTGTCCACATGGTCTGGGTCTGTCCACTCCAGGCTTTATTGCTTTGCCTTTGTTGTTTTCTATACCAGTCATACCCAGGTATCCAAGTCTTATATTTCTGTTTTATGAATTCTTTTTAGATAAGGGCAACAGTGATATTTCCTTTTCATAGTCCCTATCATCCACTCTTGATCTTTTACTGATTTGTGTTGCTTTTGTTGTTTGATACATTGTTAACTTTATCCTTTCTCCTAAAAACGTGACTTGAGCAGCTACTTTATGTTTGCTGTTTCATTGGCTTGCATCCCCCAAGTGCTTATTTTAATGCTGGGCCTGTCGCAGACTCGCAGTGGAGAGTTGGCTTACAAATTGACCGCTTGCAACTTTGCAGTGTTCAGTGCATACTCATTGAAAAGATGGTGTGGGAGTAGTTGAAATTCTTTGTTGTGCACAGTCCTGTACATAGGACACCCCTTTTCATTCTTTCTTTTCAAACTCCAAATGATGTGTGGATAGAGGAAGAAAAGAGTTTCATCTTACTTCCTTACTGTAGCAGCATCCCGGCTTAGCTTTCTGTCCTAACGCTGGCTTTGGGAAGAGGAGTTGTTCTTGCTCCGTCAGGAAAGTATATGCGCGATGAGTATGTTACAAGTTATTCCTTTTTTCCTTACTTGTTGGCTTTGCTCTTTCAAATTTGACCTTCCTCCTTCTTGATCTCTGAAATTAGAGATACATTAAGTTCATGGGCTGTCCCTACATGTGATTAGTTAGATATAGTAATGAAATTCCTGGGAATTGCCTGTAGTCTGTATTCCATTTAATAAATATTTAAATAACTGTCCTGTGCCAGGAATTGTTTTAAATGTTGGAGACAGAAAGGTAAATAGCATGAGGGCCCTGCCTTTAGTTGCTCAGAATTTAGTTATAAGAGAAAATGTATAAACAATTAAAATTATACGCAGAAAAGGGACTTAATAACTCTTCCTTAAAGAAATCACAGAGGTTCAAAGGGAATGCACAACTTGAACCTTATTTTGTTGAGACATGTTTAACTTGACTCTGTCCTTTAAAATTCAGGGGTTTTTTTGTAGACATAGGAATTCTCTTATTTGATGTGTGTGTTTGATAAATTTCAACCCTGTTAGGTTAATCGGGTTTGTACTTGTAACCTCCCATATTGACAGTTTAGAAACTATAAGCCAATAACTTTAAAAATACAATTATGTGACTGTTCTTTTATGTTCCTTAGGTGACTCCTTAGAAAACTGCACGGCCCACCAGCATCTGATGAAATTATTGACTAAGCAAAGCAACCATGTCTTACACTCCAGGAGCTGTTGGTGACCCCACTCAGCTGGCCCAGCGCATCTCTTCCAACATCCAGAAGATCACGCAGTGCTGTGAGTTGAGTTTTAAATTGACTTGACTGTTTGTTTTCAATTCTTAACTTGCTGGAGTTTCTAAAAGGACAACTACTAGTGATTGAGAGAGGGAGGAACATTCCTTTAAGAATAGATCCTAAAAAGCTGGAATTATTTAGAATGAATATAAGAAATAATTATATCTAGAAGAGATAACACTTAACTACATTTTTCTTTAGTGCTTCAGGCACATCATACATGTAATTACATTAATGAAATAAAGATCTTAAAAGGCAGAGATGCCTACTTTTGCTTTGGAACTCTCCAGTTCTAGATGAGATTAACAGGACTCCTTGACTAAGCCTCCCAGGTCTGGAACTGGGCAGCCCTATCACATTTTTAAGGAATGTATATTTATTTAAAAACCTGACTGTATGCGGTTTAGGTTAATGGTGTAAAGGGTAAGTACGTGGTATGTTATTCAGGAGCAAGAAGAACTAAGGAGGGGACATTTTTGTCTGTTGAGGCAAATATAGAAGATAACAATCTGGACTCCTCACAGATTCCTTTGCTATACCTGTCAAAGACAGAATACTAGTGGAGGAATCCAGTGTGGCATTTTATTAGAAATGATTGCTCCTCAGAGTATACAAAAGACTAAAAAAATAAAAAAATAAATTTCACTGTATCAGATTTGAACCTATAGATTTTTGTTTTGTTTTGTTCTTTGTTCTAAATCTCAGCTAAGCACATACCTGGATGACTCTAGTCATCTTATGGTCAATATTTGGCCTCTGGGAAAACTGGGCAGCACTCTTCCCAAGTGTTAGTATAGTTTCATTCTTCAGCCTCGTTCATTAAGGGCCACTCTTTTTACCAGAATGCTAACACATTGTGGAAATAAGCACTGTTTTTGATGGTCAAACTGTTTTTGAATGACTTTATCCAAGTCATTAACTTCCAACAATTATTACTCTACATGAATGATTTAAATGAGATGTCAGTGTGTTTTGGGAACAAGGGAGTAAAATTAAATTACAGATAGTTCTAAAAAAATGCCACTATGCACTGTATAGAATAATGCTTATTCTGATTTGGATTAATTCTTGCTTTCTTTGGCTATTCTTAGAAGAGCAAGGAAGTGAATAGTGCAGAGGTGTCATGTTGTCCCCAGCTAGGACTGTAGGAATGGTACATCCAGAACTGCTCTAGTTTGTCCCAGGGTACCAGCATGGTCTCCACCTTGTTTGGCTTCATGTCTGTTCTGGTGATAGTCAAAAGGGCCTCTCCTTTCTTTGTCTCCTTGTTGTTGGTTAGAAGTCATGCTGGTCTGTCTCAGGCTACCTGTGTGAAAATGAAGAGAGCTTATCATTTTAATTTACTGGTGTGGAAAATCAGGATCTTTGTGTAAGAAAGGAGGCCAAGAGGCCTTCCTCTAAAGAATGGAGCAGGTCAGGCATCCTCAGGCTAAATGGTGCCAGGACTTCTGAGAAAAAAAGAGGAATAACTATAGTGTACTGAGGTTACAGAAGCAGTAAGCACTTGGTTATATGAAAGGTCCATCAGGTGGAGATTTTGTGTGAGCTTGACCTGGAAGGGATTACAAGTTAACTTAAATCAGGTCATGCTCCCTGAGAAAGAGGTCAGTTGATCCAGCCAGATGAGAAGTGATAAACTGGACCAGAGCTGCATGTGCCTGGCTTATGTGATAGCTGAGTACGCAACTACAGGGCGATGCAAGGCAGCCTTGGAGTGGGGATAAGAGCCCCTACTGTGCTTTGTGAAGACCTGTTAATATGTGGAGTGTTCAGCCGTGAGAAGGTACAGTCGCCACCTTTGGGTATTTGTGTAAATCATAAGAAACATATTCTGTGTGATCATTAAGGCCTCCGCAAATGAACAGAAGCTGCAGTGGTCAGACTTCAGCTTGAGAAGGAATAACGGCTTTTCAATAATTGAAGTTGTTCAGGGGTGGAGTCGCCTGCCTCAGGAGTGTGATCCCCATTATTAAGTGACCAGCCCCCGGTGGTCAGATGTTTTCCGGGTTTGTTATTAAGAATTTTAAATTCTGAAATTCTGGTTCAGACTAAGTGACTTTTAATTTGGAGAGGCTGTCTTTATTCATGCAGCACATAATTTATGGAGCGCCTACTGCTTGCTAATCATTGTCCCAGACCTTGGGAATCTAGCAGTGATCAAGACCCACAAGGCCCTGTTCTCCTGTAGTTTACAGCTTGAGGAGAAACAGATGGTAACAAAGAAAAACAATTAATGCATAGTTTAATTTCCTATGAAGAAAATAACATGAGAGTGATGTGAGAGCAAGGGACTAGGGGAAGCTGACTTAGTTTGGATGGTGCCCTGAATGAGGACGAGAAGGGGCTGGGAGTGAGACGATAGTGGGAAAGAGCATTTAAATGAAAGCCATAGGTGGTATTTAAAAAAAAAAAAAAGAAGAAGAAGCAGTTCAGAGCTTGGCATGATCAGAAAATGCAGAAAAGAAAACTCCAGTGTGTCTGAAACAACAGCCCACGAGGCCAGAGTGAGCAAAACGAAATCAGAGAAGAGGTTGATTAGGTCACCTAGAGCCTTGGAGGCTGTCTAGGGAGTTTAGATTTCATTCTAAGAGGCAGGAAAGAAATACAATCAGATCTGCACTTTGAAGAGATTGCTTCGGCTTCTCTTAGAAAATAGACTTTGGGGAAGTAGAAGGGGGATACATTGGCCATGACGGAGGTCTGATGAGAGAGATGTTGGCTTGCACCAGGGTGGCAGCCATGGGGAGAGAGAGGAAGGATGGCCTTGCAGATGAATGCAGAGGGAGTGAGAGAGAGGGACCCAGGTGACTCATGGGTTTTGCACTGAGCAACCAAGTGGACGGCAGGGGAGCGTGTACTGAGATGGAAAGTACTGCAGCTCAGAGAAGTGGGAAGAGTTTTGTTTTGGTCAGGTAAATTTTGAGATGCCTTTTAAACACATAAGTGAAAATGTCAAACATTTATTTTAGATATATTACTTAAGAGATCAGTGGGCCATCAGAGTTTAAGTGGCCTTTAAAACCATAGGTCTAAAATAATTGCAGTGCTGAGTAGAATTAGGAGTAGAGGGCTGGAGCATTAAAAAAATGCAGAGATCGGGAAGGCAGGGAGAAAGCAACATAAAGAATCAGAGGAGTGACCAGAGAGATGGCGGTAGAAATAGGATATCCTGGATTTCCAGAAATTAAAATAAAAAGAGTGTTTCAGGACTGAGTGAGGCATCACCTGTGTCTAATGCTGCTGAGAGACTAAGATAAAAGCAAAGAATTGGATCTTGCAAACTGGTGACTAGAAGGAGCGGTCTCCTATCCATGTTCCAAGTGTAGATGGAGAAAGGACCAAGACTTCCTGGAATCCTGTTCACCTCTGTTTATATTATTGACCAGAATTTAGATAGAGTCACATGGCTATACCTCGCTGCTAAAAAGGCTGGATTGCAATGTGCTCACTAAAATTGGGAATTGCTCCATTTGAGAGAGAAGGAAAAAACCCAATATTTAGTTGGTAACTGGCAGATTCTACCATGGAAGTAGAAAGAGGGCCAAAGAAAGGGTTGCATTTTCCCACTGCAAAAGGGAGATTCTAGGGAGAGTATAATTGTAAAAGAAATCTCTTTGAAGGCCAGAGGGAAAGGGGAATGGCTCTGTAGTGTCTTGTTTGCCTTTTGTCCACTGTAGAGTTGTGTGGTTTAGGTGGTAAATGCGCTGGTTGAAAATGGGGAGTTTCTGTCTGCACGAGCTGTTTTTAAACAAAATATGCAGCAAAGCCTGGTGGGAGCCTATGGAAAGAAGAGAAAGTGATTACTTGTCGTTTTCACAATTGAGAGAATTGACATACCTCAGAAGCAGGGAAGAGTTAATGGCAAGTTGAGTATTCATTTGCAATTTGGGGTCTTCAATTTAGTGAAACCAGTCAACACTGTGCATTTCTTCTAATTCTGAGATTCAGGGTCTAAATGAAGGGAAATTTAGATTTAGAGAGAGAATTGGTTATTAAAAATTTAACCTGCCATCCACTGTGTGTCACTGAGAAGGGCTGTGAAGAAATCACATGGAAGTGAAAGGCAGAAGTGTGAAATTTCAGTTCACTTTTTTTTCCCCCATCTGGTAATGCTAATAATACTGGATGTGATTGAACAAAATGGTACTTTGCACCACATTTAGGTGCTCTCTTCACACTACATTTGCATCTTGTGAATTTGTGTCTGCACAAATTATCTAGTTTTGCAAAAGAAGCCTGAAGAGAAGATGCTGTAAATAATGAAATACACTTGTAGTTAGACTGTGTGAATGTGTTCAACTGAAGTTAAAGTTTTACTGAGCACTACAGTGGGGAAAATTTATTTTTAAATTAGTTTTGATATAGATCAATGAAACTTGCAAAATACTATGGTTTGAACTGTATGGTTTAGTTTATACCAAAAAATAGCAATCAGAAAGATTTTTTACTCTTGGAGGAACCTAAAGATAGCATTTAGTAAGATGAGAGTTTGGGGTTTTTTTTCCTAGTATATGCTGGCATTTTTGTTTTGCAAAGAATAGGGTAGATGAAACAAAATGTATTTAAACCTTTTTTCTTAAACTTTTTGTTAAAATAATGCGTAGTTTTATCAGTTGCTTTACTAGTGAAATATTTAAGCCATATTGCAGTAATATTTATATCAAAGTACTTAAGTATGAATATTTAAGTATAAAATATATTAGATAAAATAGATTATATTAAAATAATATAACTTTTTAAGCACTTTATTAAGGATTTCTCTGTGGAGCAATCAAAATGATTAAGAATATATTTTCATCCTGTGAACATGTTCTTTGACTCCGTCACAGAGTCTGCAGGGCGTCTGTGCCCGCATTGCTCCATCCTTGGCCCAGGGCATCGACAGTGTTGTCTGTCGCTGGCCCTCACGTGGCATCCAGCCTTTCCCAACCCCCTGCTCCAGGCTGCGATTCCCCATAGACTGGAGTTGGCGTGTAAACTAAACTGTTTGTTATCCCAGGT